TAAACCCTAAACCCTAAGCCGCAGGTTCAAAGATGGGAGGACCAATCGCTTCGAGTTTTGTGGGCTGGGGGGCTTTTTCAAGAGGTTCAACGGCGTGGGGTTTAGGGTTTAGGGTTTAGGGTTTTCGTTAGTTTCAAGTGCGTTTGGGGTTGGGGGTTGGGGTTTCAAGAGTTTTGTAAGATTCGGTCTTAGGCTTTGGTTGTTTACAACTTCGAAATTTTCAATTGTTTAGTTGCTCTAGGGATCTTAGTTGCAAGGGTGTCGGCTTTTCGGTGGCTTGCAATTCCCCCTCACTTCGATCCAGAAGCGACCTTGCTTTTCGAGGAAGAACCAAATAATAGAGACCTCATCACGACTATACCTGCACATAAAAACCTGTAAACCCGTCCTGATACCCGGCAACTTGCATGCGAGGATCGTAAGGTCCACCCTCCAGGGGCACCCGTGTGCGGGCGCGTCCCCTGTTGCCACAGTCGGGAACCTCGATACTCCGGGCTTCGGGCTTTATGTCTTAAACTTTGGATTTGAGGGTTTAGGGCTGGGGTCTGGGCTGGGGTTTAAGGACTTGTGGTTGAGAGTTTAGGGTTTTTGGGGTCAGGGCTTGGGCAGTTGGGGTCGGAGCGGGAGTTTGGCATTGGGGTTTAGGGTTGAAGCATACAATTTCGAATTGCCGGGGTTATCGGATACGATGCAGCGGTTAGGGCTGAGGGTTCAGGGTGATTGCCTCTTGCTTGGTGGGACTTTATTTTTTGAGGGCTTTATGTGTGAGTTGTCTCTCATGTCTGCTATCTTACACCTGAAAGCTCGTTGACAGCAAGACCGAGAGCCAAACCAAGCTCAGCCAGGGAGCTGTCGCAGGGCATCCATAGATCTTGATCTCCCCGCCCCCGAAGTCGTCACCATGCGTGGAGAAGGACACGGCGAGCGAGATGCAATGCTCACCTTCTATGTCATGGTGTCAGAAACAAGAATGCTTTCGGACAGGAAGACATGCAAAAATCCGAAAGCCCACCTTTGTCCGTGTCCGGGTGGAGGATGTGCATCCCTCCAGGCAGGTAGTGTTGGAAGGTGGCCCAGTGAGGCCACACCCGCCCGACATAGTCGTAGGCCGTCACTTTCGGCGGCCCCAAGGCTTCATTCCTTGTGCAAGGTGGTCCGAAGAGAGCAAAACGAGAACAACCATTGCAAGAACAACAAGAAGAAGAGATGACGCATTTTTTGCCAAGGCAAGGCTCACCAATGCGAGTGACCGCGCTGTCACATTCAGGAGAAGGCTCATGTCCTGGCAGAATGCTAAGGACCATGGCGCGCGGTCATAAGCACGCAGCTTAGTACCAAGGTAGAGGGACTTGAGATGCCATGCACCTACTGGACCTGAACCAGTGACGTGGAAATCGGCCAGCCAGTGCGCTTTCTTTGTCTTGGCTACTCTGACGAGGCTGCTATTCCTGCATCGAACCGCTTCATGGCCTTCATCCGCCGTGACCCAAAACCCTGACAGCTACAAGCTTCTAACACCCTAATCACCCTAATTATCCCTAATTAACCTAGATCCTGAACTAAAAACCACTGCGAGTCATGTTGCGACTTTGGTTCCTCAACACTGCCGGACTGCGCCATTTGCCAGAGCCCGCAGTATGCCACACAGCCGCGAGCAAGGCAATGCTCGCCTTGTCTCGTAGTTTGGAGCACCGGCAGCAACGGTATAGGGTTTAGGGTTTAGGGTGCGTGCTACCTTCACAAACGGAAATAGCTAATCATTCTGCAGACTGCACAATAACAAGTTCTGTGCGATGGAAATGCCAAGCGCAGAAGCAACGATGACGATGGTTGAGCGCGTGGCTTCTTGGTCGCACTAGGAGCAGCAATGCTCACTATCATGCGTCTTACACAGGCCTGATCCCACGTGGCAGCCACGGATTTAGAATCATGCAAACACTCCCGCACTTCTGTACAGGGCATAGAGCATATTCCTGACGCAGCAATGGCAGCAACGCCTCCAGCACTTTCGTGTGACATGGACGGGAGGTTTCACGTGTGGAGACATCCACGCAATCGAAGATGATCCTGCAGAAAGCTACACGAAGGTCCAGGAAACAACCCCATCGAGAGTAGAACTAAGGCGACAATGGCTTACAACAAGCTCCTTCAAACCCTTGATCAAGTCAGGTTGCCTTCGTTCTTTTCATCGCTGCGCTCAACGCTGGCCGTGCACCTGTCCTTGTCCAAACCGTTGGCCCGTCAATCAGATCAACAACCCCGCATTTCAAACACTAACCCAAGGCTGGTGAGATTTCTACTAGTAGGAGGAGGACTGAGGAGGCGCCTCCGCACTACTCACATACCACCCCAATCCCTCAAAAGTGAACATCCGTTCTGATCCGTTCTGCCTGAGGCTTAGCAAAGCCAAGACTCCTCCCAGGCCCGGAACCGTTCCAGCTCCTGGAAATGCGCGTAGCGGTTCATGCGGAGCGGTAGCTCATCAGTACAAAGAGCTTGAGTTGGCCGAGTGCTCTTGTGCTCTGGTCAATCCTCGTCTATGATCTATGCCTGTCATCGTGATGGCAAGGCGCTGTATGGAAGTAGGGGTCGGGCTAAGGTTGAAGACCACGTCATTTGCGAGAAACCAAACACGTTCGCAAAGAAGTAGAACTACGGTAGCAGCGTCGGGTTTCTTCGTAGCGAAGGGGTTGCAGGGGCAGTGGTGGTCGTTTTGGTAGTGGAAGTAACAACAGTGCTATATGATACAGTGGTAGTGGTAGTACATGCAGTCGTGGCAGTATGTAGTTGTACAGCACCAACTCCCCCTCCACAACGAAAAGTCGGAAAGCGGCTGTTCCCGCCTCGGGCTGGAGGAAGTTCTCCACCGAATAGACCTGCCAGCAGGGCCAGCAATGCCAAGCCTGAAATCATATCCTCGAAATTCCTCGAACCTGAAGCAGCGAACTCCGAGTGCTTAAGCATGGGCATAACCAATTGCTGTTGCATCAGGTCAATCAGGACCTGGATAAACCCTTTGAGGTTCAAAGCAAAGCCTCCAGCCCAAGCAGACACCCTGAACCTGCACCACTACTGTCTGCTGCTTAGTAGGGAATGGGGGAATGGATCCCTATGATAGTCCCTTAAGGTCCCCTATAGTAGTCCCAACAACCCATTCCCCCATTCCCTACTAAGCACCAGACAGACTACGGGGGATGCCATCCCGTCAAGTTCTTCGCCTGCAAACTTTAAAGGCCCGGCCTACTCGACCACCACCTGACTAACAGGAGCACTGGAACAAAACATGAAAACTGGAAGTACCGGGTTTTGAATCCTAGAGCTCTGGAGTTGGGGTACAATGAAGATGGACTGGTTGCTCTTCAGCTTTTTGGTTCTTCTGGTGTGTAGCGGTTGGCATGGAGATTGCGCTGAGGGTTTACATCCTGGTGTCTAACATAGTCCAATTGGTCTTCTGCACCCGGGCCTGCCCACGAGTGAAGCCTTGGATGGCGCAGAGTCATAACAGACAGCAGACGGGAACATGAATGCAGATCTCGGTAGTAAATCCGACACGAGTAAGCACTGACCTCAACATAGACAGCAACACATTAAGAATCTCTATGAAGTTCCAAAGGTCATGGACAACGAGTTCACCTGTACAACAAATAAAATCGTTGTCAGCGGACTAATCAGCATGTACTGGTCAGTAGTTACTCAGTAGTTCACGCCACGCCAACGCATGGATGAGAGATCTGGTGCATACATCATGGAACCTTTAGAAGTGTTTGGGATGGAAGTTCCTAAGGCTTAGGGTTTTGTAGAAATCCAGAACTGGCCTTGTAGCTCCGGCGATTGGTTCTCGCAATGCCCGAGACAGAATCACAAGTCCACTGCCACTACCGTCGAGTTTTCTACACGCTTCCTTCACACGGCGATTCGACTTGTAGTTGTAGTTCTCCATGGCAGCTTCGCGAGATCCGAACTGGAGGTTGCCCACCGTCCTGAGGCCACCGTAACTTGCTGCAGAACGCTGCGACCTCGAGAGCCTTCGTCTCAGGCTAGACTCGCCCAAGCTGGCCCCCTGTAATCAACAGCAGTGCCAGCAAAGCAAATAAAATCCATTTGATCGTTGATCAATTGCTTTTCGCACAAAGAGATGCATCCGGGGAGTCCACAGCACCGACATGCAACTTGCCAGGCCAGATTTCCTTTTAAAAGATGCCCATGGCAACAAGGGTCCAAACAGAGCACAGTCAACACGGGGCACACATGACCAAGGAGCACGACTTGGCCACAACGACCATATTGAAAGGCACCCATTTCGCAAACACGGCCAGCTAGCTATATACACAAGTCCTTGCAAAGCCTTGCCGCGCAATGCCGCCTCTCGATACCATACCACGCGCGTATTGCGACATACAATAATCTCCGCTTGACGCAGCTCTTGTGGTCACCCATTGCCAGATCAAAGCTTTCCAGTTGCCAAGCAGCGAGCCCGCATGAACGGAAGAATGACTTCGATATTGGCAAACGGCCCAAACCTGCGCATGCTTGCATGCGGACCAAGAGCGTTGTCCTCTGAATCCCTGTGGGTACCCAGCTTGATGGTGCCGAAGCAGCCAGGTTTCTAGGCGCACCCGGCATCACAGCCGAGCTGAGAGCAGCGTTGGTCTCGTACGAATTCAATGGGCATAAAGTTCGCACCTACCGATCCGGCATGAGAACTCAAGCCCAAGGCGACAATCGAAGAGCAGGCCACGTCCACCGTGAAGTAGTGCACGTGGGAAAGGCGGCCTGAAAGATCTTTGGCGTCAGCAGCCCTAAACCCTAAACCCTAAACCCTAAACCCTAAACCCTAAACCGTATGTTCGACTCGTGCACAAGTACGGCGGATCGATATCACTCGCCGCGCTTTGTCCTCACAAAGTCTGCGGCCGGGCCCCACGAGATACCTTTTAGGGTTTAGGGTTTAGGGTTTAGGGTTTAGCTGTATCTTAGGAACTCTTTGATAGCATGGTGCAAGCCGTCTTCTTCACAGCCGGCACACGAGCACGGGAGCTAAATTTTCCAAAATTTTTCCCGCGCTCAGGAAACCACACTGCTACATATTTCCTGCATTCAGCAACAAATGCTGCTAGACGCTTGCTTCGTTCAGGAAACCAAGCAGCTAACCTTTTCCTTCACTCCGAAACCAACCTGCTGAACTTGGGAACTGCACGTTCCGCTTCTGTAGGCATGATTGTCTGAAAGTTTTCGACTAGCATTTGTCGCATCTTCTGGCATCCCTGGTCCTCCGGGACCTGGCCGGAATCTAGCATTTTCTAGCATTATCTAGCCGTGTCTAGCATTATCTAGCATTGTCTATCTAGGTTGGCTTGGTGTTTGCATGGTGGGGCACGTGGTTCAAGGTTTAACTTTCCGTTCTTGAGGCTAGAAAGCCTAGCACTTTTTGGTTTCCGGACCTACCCTTTGATCCTTTCAAAGCCGCAAGAAAGCTAGCCGCCCTATTTTTTCTGTGGCTGTGAACGTGACGGCCGCGAAAACACCACCAATGTATTTCCTTGACTGTAGGGCCCAGCCGCATACTTTGTGAGGGCAAAGCGGCGGTATGGAGTGATATTGCTGATTTCGCAGATGCTGCAGGAGCAGACCACAGGAGCAAAACGTGTGCTCAGCATTTTGATCTGCGACCACGTCATTTTGAGCCCACATCCAAGGCCCCCGATCCTTCGGGGTCCAAAACAGCCAGCATCCCCTCAAAACAGACTGCAAAACAGAAACAACAACACTAACTTGCGATCTTGATGAAGCCTAGGATCGACAAAAGCTGTGTCAGCCAAGTGGCGTGTTGCGCCACCGCGTCGCCGCTTCGCGGGCCAGGGGGCCAAGAACGGCTTGAGGGGCCGTTGCAAGAGCAAGGCCTTGGAGAGGCTTCGGCTTCTGTCTTCGGATGATGGAGGTTCGGAGATGATGATGATGATGAGGAGGAGGAGGATACGGATGATGCATGATGAGGATGATGATCAAGATGATGATGCTGATGCAATAATATGTGAAGAAATTTAGAACAAGAACAAGATAAGGACAGCTGATGGCAGCAACGGTGAAGCCGACCGTGAATCGCATTACCAATGACTGCTGGAGTATTATGCACAGTGCAAACATACAAACGTATGTATGCATGCATGTATATGCTATATGCCTGCGTATACATGTGCAGATAGCACTCACATTCATGCAGGCATACATAAATCTGAATATACATGTGGATATGTGCATGTGTCTATGTGTGATTACCTG